AGAGTTCCCTCTAAATGCCACAATCACATAAGCCTTCGTTTGTATTTCTTTCTACTGAATACAGCAATGCCCATTGGTATCTCTGAAGCGTAATCGCATCTTAGGTCGATATTTCTCCAAGTAAAGCAGCTGTTTGGAATTGAATGCTCCCCTTCTTTTTCTGAAAATAAAGAATGGCAAATTTTTACCAAGTAATAAAAGAGCTTTCTGACTTACTTAAGATGCATTATTTATGGCCTAATGTCTTTCTAACTCCACCCTACTGAAAACCAACATATCCCACACCACATCCCTTTTTAAAGATTTCTAAGTTGCCAACATGAACTTTCTGAGCCTTCCTAGAACAGAAATTTTTTTTTCTTTGATAACTCTCATTACAATATATTTAAATAAAGATCAGAATGGGCTCCATATAGTGACATATGCCTGTAATCCCAGCTACTAAAGAGGCCAAGGCAGAGGATTGAAAGTTTGAGGCCCATTAACTAATAAAGACCTTGGTCTCAAAACTTAAAAAAGTCTGGGATGCAGCTCAGTGGTAGAGCGCTTGTCTAGTATATGCAAGGCCCTGGGCTCAATTCCCAGGACACGCCCCCAACCCCACAACCCACACCACTATCAGAATGGTTTATCCAGACATCTAACTATATTCTTCCCAATTAGATTAATATATTCTTCAGACTAGAATACCAAGTATTTATGATGCTTTAAACACACACACACACACACACATTCAGATGAAGCAGCAGTTCAAGACATACACAGATGGCAAATGGCATTCACTGAAATAGGTCACTGTCTTGGAGCTACTACCATATAATTCATGCCCTCTGACACAGTCTTTTCTCTTTAGAGTTGAGCTGGGGACCATGGCACACATCTGTAATCCCAGCAATTTGGGAGGCTGAGGCAGGAGGATTGCAAATTCAAAGCCAACCTCAGCAACTTAACAAGGCCCTAAGCAACTTGGTAAGATCCTGTCTCAAAATAAAAAAAGGGCTGGGGATATGGCTCAGTGGTTAATAGCACCTGAGTTCAATCCCTGGTATCAAAATAAGAAGAAAGGATTGAAAGTGCAAGACAATAATTGACAAAAGAATTCTGGACAATAAAATGCCATGGCCTATTATTTCAGATCAATGCTAAGGTTCTGTCTGAGTACTACCATCCTAATTTTGTGCCTGAACAAGAGTATAGGGTGATTAATCTACTCCTCTATACATTCTTCTTGCCTCTTGGTAAAGCAAAGTTGCATATGGAAGGTATTTTGGAATCTATTAAAAGGGCACTAGATCAATGAGACACTAATTATTCATTTTCAAGATTCCTACATGTTCAAACTACATAGTGAACATATTCTACAACATCCAAATTTGACACCCAAATCTGAAAACCTTTAAACTTAGGAGTTGTAGAACTGAGTCCCTTTATCACTTGTTTGAAATTTTGTATGCCTTCAAAGAATTACTTTAAGCCAAAGCCAGCAACTTATTCCATACTACAAATACTTTTCATAATTCTTTATCAAGCACAATCTTGCTTTATATGTTTATAAACATAAAAACTTCATACTCACTGTCTTATAAACTGAACTGCATCTTCATACTTCATTCCACATTCAATCAAAGCAAGTGCAACCAGCACAGGTGCCCTGTAAAAAGAAGCCTAGTAAATATCCAAAAGTATTTGGAAATTAAAGATTTTGTAAAACCCAGGATTGCGTATTACCAAAACAAAACAAAATTTGAGCTTTAACTTCTTCCATCTACTAACATATCTGCTATTTTCCAATACAGTAAAAATCTCCACCATTATACTATTACCTGTTTTTAGTAAAGCACTACATTCTAAACCTATAGTAAGATATCTTTACTTTTTAAAACATCACATTATAACTCCAGATTTTCTCATTATCTATTATCTCTATTTTTTAAAATCTGAGAAAACAATGTTTTTAAAAAGCCCATTACAAAGCATCAACTGTATACTACCTAACTAGTACAACTACTAGTAATAAAATTGCCCTAGCCAGGAACAATGGCACATGCTTATAATGCCAGCAATTTGGGAGGCTGAGGATCGAAAAGTTCAAAGCCAGCCTCAGCAACTTGGTGAGGGACTAAGCAACTTAGTGAGACCCTGTCTCAAAATAAAAAGGGCTGAGGGTGTGGCTGAGTGGTAAAGCACCCCTGGGTTCAATCCCCAGTACCCAAAAGAAAGTAAAATAAAAAACAAGATTGCTCTAAGAAAAGTTATAATACTATCATCAGCCTTCAAGAAACTGGACCTTCTGAGAAAAAAAAAGTCCAAACTAAAAAAAGGGTTAATAGCCTTAGTCACCACCACCTTGAGGCAATGGCAGCTTACACTAATGTTTTGAGTCAAAGTGCACATCATAAATTTGCATTTAATCTGCTGTTGATGAGGGTGTTGCAACTTCATCCCAGGAACCAGTCAATTCCTAGTGTCTATACATCTCCTTTTAAGAGTTTAATTCAGTCATGTAATTCAGTCACTTTCCACCTGTAAACTTTCCACTCATCTCAATCCAAAATTAACCAAGTTAGAGTCCTAAATCTCTAAAATGATTTTAATTCTGTTGCCCATTCCAATTATCTAAATCTTCAATTACTTGTAATGGGGAAAAATAAAAACTCTTTAAGTGCAATATGCTATCAGAATCAGACAAACAAAAAATCATTATACTAATTTTTGCTCTCATTTCTTTTCCAATAATTTAATGTTATTTAGAATAATACATGCAAATTTCTACCAGAGTGAAATATTCAATGGCTTACTCAGGCATGATAATGAATTCAGATTAATAAGAGAAAAAAGTAGAAGTTTACCTTCCCAATCCTGCAACACAATGCACTGCAACACAGCAACCTGGCTCTTCACGGAATTTGGTTTTTAACAAGTTCAGCCAATCATCTACTATCTGATTAGGGGGTGGAGCTCCATCATCAAATGGCCAATCCTAAAAAGAAATTATCTCTTACATCAAATTATATTTTCTCCAAGTCTAACATCCTAATGAAGAAGAGCTGCACAGAATAGATAGGGCAGGCCTAATTGAACTATGCCATATGTACCTGTTCTTACAACAATTCTGATCATTGCTGAAAAATTACCTAAGACTGAAATTTAATTTGCCAAATAAATTAGTCTGCTCAATGAAATGCAAAGTGTCACAACCATCTAAATTTATCGTACAGAAATCTCTTTATCAGTCATAAGAGCTAATGTTTTCCCAAATATTTTATCTGAGCAGTAGACATACTGGGAAAAAAATACAATTAAAGCCAAGAGAGTATAAGAGAATAAACACATGTCAACATGATTTAAAAGTCCACTCCAGCAAAGTATACCAAACTGGAGTCTCATTAATCTCTACAAGCATTTTTGAGAATTATCTTCCAGATGACTATATCTTTTCTTAGATAAAGACTAAATTCAACATTTAGTGAATAAAAACACACTACCATCTTTATCTTATAAAAAAAAAACATGAGGCTGGGGCTGGGGCTCAGTGGTACAGCACTTGCCTAACGTGTGAGGCAATGGATTTGATTCTCCTCACCACATACAAATAAATGAATAAAATAAAGGAGTCCATCAACAACTTAAAAAAAAAAAAAAAAAGGATGCCTATAATCCCAGCAGCTCAGGAGGCAGAGGCAGGAGGATCCAGAGTTCAAATCCAGCCTCAGCAACGGTGAGGTGCTAAAAGCAACTCAATAAAATCCTATCTCCAAATAAAAATACAAAATAGGGCTGGGGATGTGGCTCTGTGGTGAACCTCCAAGTTCACTCACTGGTTTAAAAAAAAAAAAAAAAGGCAAGTAGCAAAATTTTAAATCTCTGACTAAATTTTAAATCTTTGTCATTTAACAAAGACAATATCACATAATAAGCTCCTGAGCAAATGGAGACCATGTTCTCAAATATCCCTTTCTCTTCTTGAACTCATTAATTTGAGTTGTATGCAGGAGTTTTATCTTCCTTACTACCTAGCAAGAGGTCTTGAGAAACCTACACAAATGGGCAGAAATCATATTTTACCCACCCTCTCTCCTCTCAAAGACTGAAATGGAAAAACACCATTGGGGATTTTTTTTTTTTTTTAAACAAGGCTATTCTAATGAGACTGACTAAGAACACTTTAAGATACTAGAGAAATAAAAAAGCAACAGAGCACCAAATTGATTCTGTACTCATTATTGGCACCACTAGAATACTTCACGTAGTCCATTAGCCACAACAGCACATTATGTTTGAATTGTCAACTACACCCCATAATTAAAAGGCTGTCAGTGTTATTATAAATGTCACTACAGAATTTAACTGTAAACAGCAGTAAAATCATAAGCACCTTAGTCAAGAGCTTACTTCCTGTAATACGCCCTTAAAATGCACCTACTTAAGGAAAATAAAGTTTCCCTTACTCATGTTCCTTTAAAACACACACATACACACCCCCCAAAAGAATTGCTGAGCTAGGGGTGTAACTCAGAGATAAGAGTTCATGCCTAGCATGTTGGAGGCACGGGTTTAAAAAGTAAAAAAGAAAAAGCATTCTTCATTTAGAAATATCTGAACCTCAAACTGATACAGCTAAAATTAACATTAGTTAGTCTCTTCAGTGACCTTTTATTTGAAAGAGCATTCAAAGGATTAAAAGGTCTTATATGTGGGGGAAGATCCTCTTACAGTGAAACATTCCAAACTCTCTTCACCTGGCAAATGTAAATTAACTCCATTTTAAAACTCTGTGTAAGAAAAGGAAATTTCAAGTTTAACACTAAATATCCTTGTTTTTTCAAGCTTAAATTAAACCTTTAATTTTATCTGATAATAGCTATTTAAAACAAAACAAAAAGCTAAATTTAAAGGCCTGGAATAAGTCCCAGACCCACCATTATCTTCTACAAACTAGTTTAGGTTCTTTAGTTCATTTCTATTTCATGAAAATGTTTACTAACATTACTGATTCAATCCAAGGTCACTTTCTCACCCTGCCACACATCAAAACAAGTTTTCTCATCTATCCACTGGAGAACATACTCAAAATACAGGGAAATGAACTTGCATTTGACTTAATTTCAGAATTTAAATATTTGATTTTATTTAACAAAATACAAAAACCCTTTTTTATGTTTCCACTTACCCTCTGTGATTTCCGATCCATGGACTATAAATTAGAAATGGAAATGCAAGCATAGATCATGCCATACTACTAGAAAAAAGCAGCAGCAGCTGAGGGGATGAGGCACACCTGTAATCTCAGTGACTCAGGAGGCTGAGGCAGGAGAATCACAAGTTCAAGGCCAGCCTCAGCAATCTAGCAAGGTCCCAAGCAATATTAGCAAGACTCTGTATAAAAATAAATGACTGGTTCTGGGGTTGTGGCTCAGCAGTAGAGCACTTACCTAGGTTCAATCCTCAGCACCACATAAAAATAAATAAATAAAATAAAAGTATCACGTCTAACCACAACTAAAAAATAAATAAATAAATAAATGGCTGGGCTGGGGTTGTGGCTCAGTGACAAGAGCGCTCACCTAGCACATTCGAGGCCCTGGGTTAGACCCTCAGCACCACATAAAAAATAAACAAAATAAAGGTATTGTGTCCAATTACAACTAAAAAATAAATATTTAAAAATTTAAAATAAATAAATAAATGACTAAAAGATGGGGGGTTGGGGATGTAGCTCAATGGGTAAAAGCACCCCTGGGTTCAATCCCCAGTACAAATAATAATAATGATGATGATGATGATGTCTGGCTATTTCATTTTTGTTTTTACAAAACTGGAAGTGAGGAAGCTTTATGGATCAGACAGGACAGCTTCCTTACTAAGAGAAAACTTATTCTTCTATTAACTGCCTTTCCAACCACTGACCAATATAATAAATAAAAATTATGGAACTACCTCTCAGTAAAAGGTATAAATATAACCTTGAACTAATATCTTCCTAATTATTTTCTTCCTAATTATTTATAAAATTTCCATTTCTCTTACGACCTTGCCTTCCCACAATCAAATCAAATAGCTCTATCACACCTAACTTTAGACTTTCCTAACATGCCCCTGGGATTTCAGACTATTATTTAGGGAAGAAGGTAAAAAAAAAAATTAACTAATCTGAGTCTTCCATTTTCTTAAGGAAACAGCATAAATATTACAGAGGAATTTAATTTAAAATAATTTCAACCACTTTGAACTATTATAAGAAATTTAATCCCACAAATATTTTTTTAAAAAAGAAATCAATCAATCAATCAATCAATCAATCAATCAACCAACCAAAGTGTCAGAAACTATGCTGATCATTCTGGAACAAGATGACTTCTCCCACTCCTCCTTAACCTCTTCTCCCACCTTTTATCCCCTACAAATTTTCCACAAAATATTAAGTAAATAATCTGGTACAAAATATTAAGTAAATAATCTGGCAGATGATATTTCCCTATGTTAGGTAAGAATATCTGATACAAATTATTTCCAGTTACATTCAAATAGGTAACATAGAAATGAAAGCTAAGTACTATATTAATTTCTTAAAGATACAAAATGAAAATTTCCATTTTCTTGAAATAATGTATACCCAATTTTGCTTTTTATTTGTTGAAAATACTCTGCATTTGTAGGCTTTAAGAACACACTGAATAAAACTGCCAATTAACGCAAAGAAATTTTATTTTATTTTCAAAGATCCAACAGGGTATCGAACAGGGTCACTTAACCACTGAGCAATGTCCCCAGCCCTTTTTATTTTTGAGACAGGGTCTCACTAAGTTTCTTAGGATCTCCCTAAATTGCTTAAATTGGCCTTAAACTTGCCATCTTTCGGCCTCAGCCTTCCAAATCGCTGGGATGACAGGCATGCACCACCACACCCAGCTGATCCAAAGGAATTTTAAAGATTGTTATCAATATTGTATTTACTATTATAAGCTTAAAAAGCAAAATTACTGAACACCAAGTTCTATAAATATCTGTATTTGAAAGGTACAACTTATTTGTCACAAAATAAAACTAAAACACTACACACTCACTAGAACGTAGATTCCTTCTTTTTCAACTGGAGCTTTATCATATGTAGCATCACAAACTCGAACCAAAGTTGTCACTCCATACTTCTTAAGTTCCTTTAAAAAAGAAACAATTATAAGGGAACTTGCTTTTAGAACTAGCATCCAAAGCTTAGAAATGTAGTATTATAAAACAGTAAGACATCTTATTAAAAAAAAGAAAAAAATCATTCTCATTGTAATAACATATAAGGGACACTCAGTGGAAGGTAAATAAGACATATCTAAGGGTTATTTGTTAGCATAATACAAAACCCTTAAAAGTTCACATGCACTTAGTCCTAGAGATTCTACTTCTGGGAATGTATACAAGGAAATAAGTAAGAACATACACAAAGATATAGGCAGCAATAAGTTCATCACAGACTATTTGGAACAGTGAAAAACTGGAAATAATATTAATGGTACCAAAACAAGAAAATTGGTTAAAGGGGACGAGGCATATTAATGCAGTGAATGCTACGACAGCTACTGAAAATAATACTAAGGGGGCGGGGACAATATTTTAAAATAGCCAGACAAGGTGGCACACCTATAACCCCAGCAGCTCAGGAGGCTGAGGAAGGAGAATTGCAAGTTCAAGGCCAGTCTCAGCAACTTAGCAAGGCCCAAAGCAATTGAGAAAGACCTTCTCTCAAATTAAAAACAGAAAAAGGGATGGGATGTAGCTCAGTAGTAAAGGACACTTTAATTCCCCAGAATCCAAATAAATAAAATATATATTTATGATCCTATCAATATGTATATCTACAAATATGCATATGCAGGAAAAAACATCTAGAAGTCAGGTATTAATAATTAACTTTTGGAGTATGGAGGCACACATTAATAATCCCAGTTCCTTCACAAGAGGGAGATTTCAAGTTCAAAGCCAGCCTGGTCAACTTAGCAAGACTCCAATTTAAAAATAAAGCCAGATGCACACATATTTTTCCAGCTACTTAGAAGGTTGAGGCAGGAAGATTCCAAGTTCAGAGCTAGTCTTGGCAACTTTGACAGACCCTGTCTTAAAAAAATAAAGAGGGCTGGGGATGTAGCTCAGTGGTAAAGCACCCCTGAGTTCAATCCCCCTAAAATAGTCTTATTTTCTTTGTATCTTCTGGTTGGTTTTTTGTTTGTTTGTTTGTAATAAGCATTTATTTTTTTAAAGAATAAATAAAAGTAACTTTTTGAAATTAAGAGGGAAAAATGGTATCTAAAAAAAAAACAAAAACAAAACAAAACAAAMAAAAAAAAAAAACAGCCAATACAACTATAGCCAGAAGCCTACTTCTTTCCTATAAAAACCTCTGTGGGGTAAATGCCTGAACCAATGACTACCTATCTTCAAGGAATCACCATCTTTTTATAGTTGCAGGATAGTGGCCACTGCCACTTTTGGAGTTTACAGCCAAGGAATCCACTGGCTAAAAATAGTATAACATAACTCTGCCAGACTTAAAAGTGACTGAACAACCTGAGGACACAAAGACCTTGGAATCAACTTGTATACTGTGTACATGAAGCTAAGAACCTCAAAGAATTATAAGTATAAAATAAGCATCAACAAAAATATTCAAGACTGGGGCTGTAGCTCAGTGGCAGAGTGCTTGCCTAGCATGTGTGAGGCACTGGGTTCAATCTTTAGCACCACAAAAAATAAAACAAGGGCTGGGGATGTGGCTCAAGTGGTAGCGCGCTCGCCTGGCATGCGTGCGGCCCGGGTTCGATCCTCAGCACCACATACAAAGATGCTGTGTCCGCCAAATACTGAAAAATAAATATTAAAGTTCTCTCTCTCTCTCCCTCTTTCTCATTCTCTCTCACTC